GTTCGCACCCATTCACTGTCTTCTTCTGGTATGACATACGTAGAGCCCCACTTTTCATCTCCAGTAATGACATTATCCAGCCAATCGAAACGGCGGCTCCTTGCAAGAAAACCTCTGCACACCCCGATACCTCTTTTCTTGGACTGCTCTGTCAGCTCATGCGGGATCCATCGACCAAGTTATTTTTCCGGCTTGTGGAGGGCACGACCTGTGGCCATGTCGCATCTTCCGAGCCTGCTCCTTTATGCTTGCATGCGGAACGCTTTCAAGTAGCTCCAAACATTCCAAATTTACTTCCGTTGACCTCCAGAACGAGGCTCATCTTCGAGGTTGTAGTTTCCTTCGCGGAACCTTCTGAACCAAAGTTGGCAGGTTTTTTCACTTACCACTCCCTCTACTTCCACAGAGCATATTTTGCGGCAGGCTTCGCTCGCTGTGTGTCCCAGACAAAATTCGCAAAGAAGGCAGTGGCGTACATGGGTCGAAACATATGGCATTTTCCAGGCTTCAAAAAGCGTGCAGGAGGTGAGACTTGAGAATATGAAGGAATATCACTACCCCTATATATGGTTTGAAAATTTCCCGTTGCAGGTTGATGTGCAGCCACTTGCCAGGTTTTGAAAAATTCCGCAAGGATTTTCGTTGCGGCCTAATACTAACAAATTATGGCACGCGACCCTGCCTCCACCATAATCGCCATATCTCTCCCTCACCGACTACAACTTCTTCATGACCCCCGACAACTTCCTGAGCTGAAAGTGTCTTAGTAATCAAGCCCAGGAGGAAACCGATTTCAACGACTTCTTCGCCTTCAAATCTCTGTAGAAGTCACAACTGCAGGCATACCTCATTTGCAGGAAAATGTGGATTCCAGTCGTTTTTGTTTCGACTTGCAACGATACGTGGAGCTACATATGTCATTTTCAATTGAAGGTCAAATATGACATTTTCTGGACCTCATGATAAAATGAGTGCTTCAAAAGGCAAAAAAGTTGGGCAAATTACGCAGCCCCTTAATACTAATTTGGCACACTTCGTTCATACTTCGAAATCATCCTATGACAATGAAGGAGCAAAAATAAACGGGGCATGAGTAGAGGAAAGAGTGCGTTACCATGATTGGCGACAGAGTCAGACCAACATTACTACTTTGGCTAGAGTTGGACTGTAGTCATTTTTGTTGGCTCTTGATGAGTTCAGATTCTCTATCACAAGAAACGTATCTTACCATGTAATAGACGAAATGGAGTTGTTTCTGAAGGAACAGAAGCTAAAAAGTGTGCAAGCGTTGCTAATATACGATTGCACCCTTCTCTGTTACCGACTGCTGTTTCCAGGAGAATGGTATGAGTGGTCTGAGTGGTCCATATGTTCATGCACATGTGGAGACGGAATAAAACAACGACGGCGAGAATGTGCTGGTAACAACTGCAAGGTATGGAAAGGCAAACGTGTCAGCATGCATCTCTGTTTATTGGTATCAAAGCTTCAGATCTGCAAATGATTTCGCGAAATGGTAGCTGTTTTTTCGCACTTCAAAAAAAAAAAAAAAAAAAAAAAAAAAAGAAAAAAAAACTAACTGTTGGACAACTCACGAACGAAGATTTGGTCTGCCGCACGACACACTGAGTTGGCTCTTGTTAGGACTGTACAAGATTCAAATCTGAACCATGAAAGTCTAGCTCGAGTTTGGACTACGCACTTCAATACATTGGCTATTTCTTCAAAGTAGCTTGTTTAGCGCCTTCAAGCGTGCAGTCTTGCAATAACTGTACATACTACTTTAAACGTACCGGACGGATTTCTCTTCCTATCACTATTTCACCACTTCCACTATTAGCTCAACCATAATGTTTTCGTAATCACTCGCTTCAGCGATGTACTATACACAAGCAGTGAAAACCCTAAGACTTGTTTCAAACCTCTCATCCAAGCCATTCAATGTGTTGAATAAAATGCTTCGATAAGCTCAAGGCAGCGAATGCGATGATTGGAGAGCGGAGCTAGTTTGGAGGTGGAAAGGCGTAGGGTATGGGCCCGACCACACCCCTCAGCGCTTTCAGAGCAGCGTAGCGATTAAAAAACTCAGAATGAGAAACAAGGAAGAAAGAGCGAAGAAAGGAATCTGGTAGCGCGAAGGGAAGAGAACAAGTTTGTGCAAACATATATTGCATCTGTAGTTGCGTACAAGTTCACAAGGAAGTTTCATTGTGATCTTTTCGATATATACCCTCTCCTGATTTTCATCGTATAGGGACCAGAATATGAAACTGCCCCGTGCAACGAAAGACCATGCCAAACATGGTCGGAATGGTGTGAATGGTCTACGTGCTCTGGAAGCTGTGGACGTGGAGAACGAACGCGTACAAGATTCTGTCACTTAGGAACACAGAGATGCGAAGGCAAAGATTATGAGGTAATATTTTCTTGCCTATTCTAAATGTTCTTGAGGGGCATAGGTCGGACCATCAATACACTCATGGAGCTGGCAGCAAACTGCTAAAGAAAATTCAAGCATGAAAACCGCACATGGACTGCATTACACTATCTGCTGACAGTTGACGTTGTGGCCAGAGCATCATCTAGCCTTCACTTGAGTAAGTTACCGGAGGAAGTGATGTGAATGGTAATGAACTTAACGAGCTCAAAGCAGGATGAGCCAATGTTGAGATCCTTGATAAAGGTATTTGGCGAGACGTTTCACCCGAAACTTTTGTGAAAAGCAACTGAGTTCCACTAAATGAAGAAATGCCGAACACCAATCACGTAGACTACGATAAATTAAAGGTCTTGATCGCTGTCAGAAGAATTCAAAAAAAAATTAATCAGAGGTCAAAAAAGTCGTTTACATGGGAAATCGCAGTTTCATAAACCTAATTCGTTCCTCAAAAAAATTGAGCAATCGCAGCTTTTCCGCGATAACACTGCTCTCTTCGCAGCTGGCTTTCTCCTAGTGGTTCAAATATGACTCCCTCGTCGAGGATCCCGTTCTACAGGCTCGAACTTGCATATGTACCAGGAAAAGGAGGTAGAAAGAATTGTCTCCTAATATCAATGCATTGCCGCATGTCGTCCTGTTTGAATGAAAAATAGAGCCTGTCAAAAATACCTGGTGCGGAAACGGATAGAAGTACCACACTTCCTCCAGGTCGAGGCTTGTGATGCTGGTCCATGTCCAGAATGGGTGGAGTGGAGCGAATGGAGCCGATGTTCAGCGAGCTGTGGTGCAGGAATGGTCTAGACGGCAGAGAACCTGTCTTGGTGGCGGTTTTGGAGACCACATGTGTCCAGGTTAGTTGTAACTTGACTATAAATGAGCGCGATAACCCTTCAGGAAGATCAAGAAAAAATTCAACTGTATATTTCCATCATTGTCCTGATGAAGGAATTTCTTTCACTTTAAAATTGGTTGAGAAATTGACAAATTATCGAATTAAGAGTATTTCAGCCATGTCCCTCACATTTACTTGCGGGATATCCTTACACACCGTTCGGCAGTGCCTTTTCATCAGCTCACAATTCCTTCAGACCTAGCCTGAAGATCCCACAGACCCCGTGTCAAATCTGTTGGTCTGACGGAGACATGCTGTTAAAAATGTTCGTGATGCAGTTAACATGAGAAACCTCGTCTAAATGTGTCACCCATGCTGAATCTATTAGGCAATTGGTAAAATAAAACAATTCAGGTGTTCCTTGGAGTAAGAGGACACCATACTACCATATGTTTGGTAATAGTAAAGTAGGTACCATGAGAGCCGAAAATGAATTGTCTTACTGCCCCCATATCTAACTACCCATTAAGCACTGTTTTTATTGATCTTTCAAGTCGCTTAGCAGCCTGGTCAAACGACTGAAAAGAGGACTCTGTGTAAGTGTTAAGATCCTCTAAACTGCGGATGGTTAATTCTTATCCCTTCCTTGGTAATAACAACAAAAGCCCCGCTTTGTGTCCCCCACACTACCTCCATTCCTTTTTCATGGCCAATGGCTTTTTAAATCCCTTCCTTTCCTTTTCAGTCAAATTAGAACCAAATGTTTGACTGGCCGTCCCCCGCCCCGCCCCCGCCGCGCCCCCCGCCCCCCCCCCGGCTGCGCGCCCGGGTTAGACGTTGTTCATGTGCTGATGGTGATTCGTGAGTTTGGGATTTTTTTGGTCATTGTTTTTGTGATTGATGTGTTATATGGGTATGTGTGCTGTTGATAGCCGTTTTCTCAACCTCACAAAGCAATAGATTCCATTGTATATCTGTTCCGATATCCACATTGCGTCCACTTCATCATTGAAGGACGTGCTTCAAACTATGGTGAAATTAATTCAAATATCCATTATTTCACTTCATGACCCGCGCCTATGTAACGCCGGTCGATGAAATCTGAAAACATACATTTTGATCGAAATGCTCTTCGAGAAGCGATATTGAAGATCAAATTGTACTGAGCCTTAACAAACGAGGTTTTTTTTTCCTGCTCTATACATCGAGTCAGTGAAAACTGGAAAAATTCATTTGCTTGTAGGCATACAAAATCTACGTAAGTCGCGTCTGAGACTACGATATTTCGTATGTCCCCTAAGGCAAAATCTCTTCACATCTCTCATAACTATACGACCCAAAATCTAAAATTTCTTGCTTCGTCAAACTTTGCCACATGGTATTATGCTGGCTATCACGGAATTCACTTCCATTTTTATTAGTGATGGCCATCGCGCCAGTTTGTCACGACAGTTGTTCACACCAATTACGGTATAAATTATGTATGGTAGGGGTTATTTGGTCTCCTGATTACCAATGTGGCCCTTCTTGGCAATGGCGACATGGCGCTTATTTTCCGCTTGTCCGCGCCCTCTCACTGATTAGATCGCGATCAGAGCCAAGCGTCTGGGTAGAGGAGGTCTCCGAGTTCCACACTTCAATATTTTGCTATCAATTCCGTACCTGCTTTACCCGCCCTTATATCTTACGCCTAAGATCTTAACCGGCAGCACAACCCAGGCAGAGTTCGTGTGAACGCTTCTCTTCGGTCACTAGTATAGAACCCTAGAGGACAATCACAGATGTGGCGTCCTCGTGCACGGAAACCGACCGATAAGAGCGCTTGGGCCTTGCAAAGTAAGCTGCCCAAGCTGCAGACTTTTTTTCTTATCAGGCTGTTGTCTGGCGCTCTCTCATCTGTAGCGCTCTCTCGCCTCATACTCTCCTCTCCGCGCTTAGTCTCTCATTCCCTTAGCACAGCCGATTAGGAAGGTGAGTGAGCCCTTAACCTAAGCGTTTTGACGGATTCTTTTCCTTTTTTCTTTACTGCCGGCCCACTTCCCACCAAGTACATTCACATTCGTGCACAAGAGCCACACCAATGTGATCCTGGGGTATGCCTTTAAGTTTCAGCACACTCGGAGACCAATGTGGAAGATAAAGTGACCAGCAAAACGGAAAAAAGCATGTAATGCCTGGAAAATAAGCGCCCAGAATCGGCAGCGCCCTAACGAATTCCATATTCGTGATCAGGGCACCGAAAATACGCTACTCGATAGTTTACAGTACTACAGTTGGTGAAGCACTTATTCAGTGGGGCGCCATCCTGGCGCCGAGATAGCGCCACCTCTAAAAAATGGATGTCACCTCGCCACTCGAATTCGCTTATTCATGGGCTTAAGTTCCACCAAGAAATTTGAGGTTCGGTTGAATAGTGTGCTCTGCCATTTTCTAATCATCTTAGAAAGAAAACCTCTTCTGTGTGAAATCCATAGTACAAGTTTACATTTACGAATAAAAATATAGTTCGTTGTAATAAAACAGCGCAAAATCTGAGGTCTAACAGAAGATCATGATGCAATCTTCCCACAAAGCTAAGGCAACTCCGAGCCAGGGGTGTGTAGCCAGCCTACGGGGGTGGGGGTGAGGGCAGTCACTTGACATGCGTGAAAAGCTAGAATGTTTTAGTTCACACTAGTTCGCATCATGATGCCTCCTTTTAACTGAAATATCCCTCGAAAATCATTTCTAGCGGAATTTACACAATCTACGTTTTGATCTATTGTTGCTATTTGTGTTAACCATTTTCAAATAAGCAGCACTAATGCGAATAAGTATACTCCCTTCAAAAACACGGAAAGAGCGTCGGTGCAAAGAGCCGCCAAACACCCCATGACCGCGTCGACTCCACTCCTAGGACACCACGCCAAGACTGCACACTTGATTCCAACTCCCAACCCAGAATAGTAGTATTACTATATTAAGCATGTGTTATAGCAAGTTACAAGTTTAAAGAGTATTACTTCTAATGAAATAAGTAAAACAAAAGTGAATACCACAAAATGTAAATGTTTCTGGCCATTGAAAATGATATCCTGTGCAGTTGCATTCTCTTGTTTTTCTACTATACGGCTTATACAGTGCGGCTCACAAAGCATTCGCCAAATATTATTTTCCGGTCGTCTAATACTTTTCTTTCTGGCTGAATCAATAAATTTTATATTTTGAAGCAGGCAACATTCTCACCAGGCAGCGTATACATGTTGATTGCAGGCGAGAGGCTAGGGAGTAAAGAAGTCCTTTTACTAAAAATTCTTGAGTATGCTCAAATTCCAAGTAGGTTTCAAATTATTGTAGAAAGCTTATAATTCAACAAAACAATCGACGGAATGGTAAATAACAACAAGCACATTCAATAGTCTGTTAAAAGCCTTTTCGAGTTGCTGAAACAGGTTGCGGGAACCACAGAACCAGGTTCAATTTTTTCTGAACGGCCCTCTGAATACCAGAAAAGGAGGTCCCTAGTTCGATTCCTCGTGGTAACAAATTTTTGCATTTCGAGTTGACGTGCCAAAATTCGCGCAAAATGGAGTTAGAACCAACCAGAACAATCAGAACTCCATTTTGCGCGAATTTTGGAACGTCAACTCGAAATGCAAAAATTTGTCACCAAGAGGAATCGAACTAGGGACCCCCTTTTCTGGTATTCAGAGGGCCGTTCAGGAAAAATTAAACATGGTTCTGTGGTCCCCGCATCTGCCCCTATATCATGCAAAAGACCGTTTTCAAAAAAAGTCTTGCAATGAAAGAATTAGTAATATAGCGAGAAACTCGTCAAATTTGAAGGAAAGTTGAGGAGGTTGTCCCAATAGATAGTGCTTTCATTGACTGGGTTCAACACTTAGGACCAGTTCAAAGGTTTCAGCAACTCCAAAAGGCTATACAGAGTACTGGATGTGCTTGTTGTTATTTACCATTTTTTCGATTTGTTTTGTTGAATTATAAAGCTTCGCTAAATAAGTTGAAACCTACTTGGAATTTGAGCATACTCGAGAATTTTTAGTAAAAGGACTTTTTCATCTATTCGCCTCAACCTTATACCTCTCTCCCATCCAACACTTATACGCTTGCCTAGTGAAGAATGTTTGCCTCTTAACATATCAAA